CCAAAATATCTTCTGAAGATTAATCTGTGTTTGTCTTGCCATAAAAAAACAACACATACTTGAATAAATCTAATCTTGGACAAAAAGGCCTAAGGTCTTAAAGGTGTCCCTAGGAGACCTTTGGCCGGAGTGTCTTTTCCTTCTTACTTACAGTGAGCTACTGTAAGTGCTTACTTAAAGGGTTGTTAAATTGAGGGAAGAATCAGTGCACTTAACTTCACTGAGGTTTTACTACTGTTTTACCTGTTTTTTCAAAGAAGTTAGGAGCAGGTAAAAGGCGATTAGAGTATATCAGCCTTGTTCAAATCAAAGTGCTTTTTCTAGGAAAAGAGGAGCACTGTAGAGTCACATGTTGTAGATCCTCAGAGTTAAGCTTTTGATCTATTTATACTGTTTTAAGATCCGTAAAGGCTCAAAGGCTGAATTTTCTCATCAACACCTTTGGGCTCTTCTTAAAACAATTCTCTTTTGAGGACAGCACGGTGTTAACATTGAAAACTAGTCTGTACAAAGTTGCTGGGGTGGATTTACCTTTTTTTTTTTTAAATGCAATATGCACTCTGGTTTGCATTTTAATAAAGAAATATTTGAGATTATTGGTTATTTGCAATGTTGATAATTTTTGTAAGCCTTTTAGTTTTCTCATCCTGTAGTATCACCATTCAGTATCATTGTAATCTTATGAAAGGTTTGGTTACCTTATTTTTGTACTATTAACTAAGTCGTTTAAAGATAAAAAGTGTTCTGGTCTGAACAACCCTTGAATGTTTGCAATTCCCACACTAAGTTCAACTTTTGCACTTGCCAACTGAGAAAGATTATGGAAAAAGCCCATCTGGAGTCTGTCCTGTTCACTGATTACAGGATTTTGAGGTACACAAGTGCTAAAAAAGGTTTTGAAAAACTCAGGGAATCTTCAGTTGAAGACTGCTGGAGTTCCTGCAGAACGCAATCAACAAATGTCTCACTGTGTATGTGGTTCAGACTGCCTGCACCTAAACAAAAACAATATATGCAAAGAGAAAAAGTTATTTTCATATTGCTAATTGGTTGTAAGTACCTATACATACATGCCTTTCACGAATTGGTAGAAAATAACTGGTATTTGCTGGCTGAAGCTCTTTAACTAATCCCTACTTTAACAAGCTGCTGACTGAATTTAAAGCATCGATTATGCAGACAGAGCATTTGTAATGAAAAAGAAGTAGCTCCTGAATAGGATAAGTAGCAGACTTTTTATCTGGGCTTTCTCAGAAAATAAATAAAAGATTAACTTATTGTCTTCTACTAAGCTTATTGCTTGCTAGTTTTCAGGATAATAATTGAAAATGTGCTGGGCCTTTGGGGCTTGATTTTGAGTAGTCATTTAATGACTTGCTAAATGACAGATATACTGATGAGTTTGAGTGTGAAAAGCATTTATTAATGGCAAGCAGGAAAGAGGGCAAAATTTGTGGCGAACACCATCTAGTGATTCAGGAATAAAATAGACTAAACTCATTGCAGCCCAATCTAACTTCACAGGACTAGCATAAATTCAGTCAGGGTACTTCTCTTTTTCTGACCTGAGAAGGGCAGCATGTTTTGAATAGTCAAGAAGAGGCAAGGTTAGTAAACTGACTTTGACTTAGACCTAAGTTCTGAATTAACAAACAATACGAACCCATTTAGATCTGCTTATTCCTGTTATTTTCATTTCTCAGAATTGCTGTTGTTGTCACTTCTAAATTCCCTGGAGGAAGGGAAGAAATGTGTCTGTTTAACCCTAGCAACCTCGTTTATTGGGCACTGATTTATTTCTTGTAAATAACTTGTCATTCTAATTCTTCAGCAATAAAACCAAAGAAGTCTGCATAGGGCTACAATCAAAGTGAGGAAAAAAAAGAAGAAAGAAAAAAGCTGAAATGTCTCTCCACTACCCATACTAATGAGCTTAGCTCCATTATTACAGTTTTATGTGAAAGCATTTGTTGATCATCCAAAGATATGAAAATAAACTTGGATTTCTGATCAACACGGTTGGCAGTCCAGATTGTATAGGAACACATAAACAGATTATGTCACTCACAGAATGGATATGTTTGTTTTATCCTTCAGGAGGAGTTTGTGAGTGACACCTAGCATGAAGTACTTGACTATATAACAAGGTTGACTATAACAGAATTAAGGAAATGTTCCTTTCTAAATCACAAATTCATAACTGTTTCTGTTGAGGAATCATAGTTAATAAAGTTTTGCCAGTTCAGTTTTCTAGAGACAGGCTCACACATATTGTAACATTACCAGCATAAAAATGGCAATATTGATTAATTTAAACCAGCTGATGATTTCTCAGAATCCAATTTAATGCTATGCAAGTGAAGCTACCATGGGTAATAATTTTAGAAGGTAACTCATTAAGTTAGTATTTATGTATGGGACAGAATAGATGGTGGGGTGAGATACAAAGGTAACGGAGTTGGTTCCCTGTAAAATTATCTGCAGGCCACCTTCAATTACGCAGGCTTCCAGCTACTTTAAAGGAATGCTGTGAAGGCTAGAAATTGCTGTGACAGAAAGATGGACAAGCCTTTCCTCCTTAAACCTGTGGACTCATGTAAAATAACCATAAGAGAGTATGTGGAACACTTTTGTACACAAACTAATTCAAAAGTAAATCACTAGTGTATGTCAAAAGGAAATACTATTTTTCTGAACTATATCATAGTTTACCAAGAGTCAATAAAAATGCTAAAGTTTTTTCTTCTTTTTTTTTTTTAAGATAACTGAATATTTTAATAGCTGATTTTTAAAAATTATTTTTATGCACTTTTCAATTTTTTCCAGCCAGGAGTGCTGATTGCATTAACTTATAGGTCTATTAATATTCTTAGAATATAGTACCTACTGAATTCAAACCTTATGTAATGAAACTGTCATATTATTACTGTAAATTATCAACATTTCTTATGTGCTCCTTAATATTTATCTTTCAGTAGAATATATAAAAAATTAGACTGGTTTGAATTAATTGATAATATTGTTTGATATGCTATTCTAAAATGTGTCCTCTGCTGTTCTTCTGTTGATTATGTAAGCTGTTTTGAATAAGTCTACTTGAAGTATAGAAAACCCAACCAGCTCCATCTATGAAATCCTTCATTTTCAGCACCACAAAATATCTAAAATGTTACGGCTTTCTTTTGAAACAATCTCATTACATATTTGTAGAAGAAGAGGGTATCGTCTGTGTTGTGAATTATTTGGAAACACTAGCATTAGTTTCCTTAAGGGCTAGTACTTGCTGACACATTTTCTTATTTTTGGTAAAAGTCTGAACCAGAAACACTGAACTTTGTAAATTTGCACTGAGAATATATGGCTATATAATAAAAAAATAATTCCATTTTTCTCCTGTTTCCATTTTTTTTTCTGATTTTTTGAATTATAGACATCATTATCTTTGTAGGCTAAATTCACTCTGTATTATTGAGTGTTTTGGTTAAAAAGTAGGTATGAATTTATCATTGTGGAAATATTCCCAATTCATTACAAATTAAGTGAATTAGAGTTTTATTTTTCTTTCCCAGGTGGTGTAAAATGAATGTGAATTTGAAGAAGTGAACTAGAGTAGGCACTCTTAGAACCAGTGGAAAGATAGGATTGCTTTTTCCATTATTTCTTTATTTGTGTGTTCATATTAATATTTAAGAAAAATAAATAAAGGTAGTTTAATTCTGTAAAATAATTTTGCTCTAAAATGCTAAAAAAAATTAGAGCCCAATCATAGTTTAGTAATGAAGACATAGCTATACAATGAACCTTAACATGAATATACTGAATTTGTTTGTTGTTCATATTTACATTTTTTAATAACTTTGTCAAGGAAGAAAGAAATGGATTACTTCCATGTCTATGCTAAAAAAAATAATCATTTCTGTGTTAACAGACTTACAATTTTAGTTGTCCCTCCCAATGCAGTAAAATTTTTCTATCTTCTTGTGGTTTAAGCCCAGCTGGCAACAAAGCATCACGAAGCTGCTCGCTCACTCCTCCCCAACCCTGGTGGGATGAGGAGAAGAAAATATAAAGGAAAGCTCATGGGTCGAGACAAGGACAGGGAGGGATCACTCACCACTTATGGTCATGGGCAAAAGGCAGGCTCAAGTTGGGGAAAAAAACCCAAAATCAATTCAATTTACTACCAACTGAATCAGAGCAGGATAATGGGAAGTAAACCCAAACATGAGAACACCTTCTCCCCAGCCCTCCCTCCTTCCCAGCCCACCCCCATCCCGGTTCTCTCCACCTCCCACCTCCGAGCAATGCAGGGGGATGGGGAAGGAGAGTTGGGGTCAGCCCGTCACACCTTGTCTCTGCCGCTCCTTCCTCCTCAGGGGGAGGAGGACTCCGCGCTCCTCCCCTGCTCCGCCGCGGGAGACCGTCCTCCACGAACTGCTCCAGCGTGAGTCCCTCCCGCGGGCTGCAGTTCCTCACAAACTGCCCCGGCGCGGGTCCCTCCCGCAGGCCGCGGTCCTTCAGTCCCAGGCTGCCCCAGCGCGGGCTTCCCCACAAAGCGGCGGCCATCTTGAGGGGCCTCTGCTCCCCCGCTCCCCTCCATGGGCTGGGGGGGACAGCCTGCTGCCTCACCACGGGCTGCGGGGGCATCAGCCTCCTACCCCGCTCCTCCTTCCTCCCTGCCCTCGGGATCTGCACAGGGGTTCCTCTCCCATCCCGATCCCCCGACTCCCGGCAGGTTTCCCCTCTGGAATCTGTTCTCCCAGAGGCGGGGCCGGCGCCCCCCCCGGGGAGCCTCCCGCCGCTTCCAGCAGGAGCTGGCCCTGTGGCCCCTCCCCCACTACTGAAACCCTGCCACACAAAAACCCAAAGCACTTGTACTTCTAGTGATGAGAACTGGGAAGGATGCATTGATTACTTATTTCAGATTCTAGAAGCCTGTGATGAAGTTTAGACACCTGGTCACTTCTTATCAACATGGAGTTTCTCTTGCGGTTTACAGACTGTCAGGAGCCAGCCACCCCTTGCCACCCCACTGCGACATGGATTCGTGTAGCTCTGAGGAATTCTACCAGGCTGTTCACCATGCAGAGCAAACCTTCAGAAAGATGGAGAGCTACCTGAAGCAACAGCAGCTCTGTGACGTTATCCTCATTGCTGGGAATCGCAAGATACCTGCACATAGGTAGGACATAAGCATAAGATATTGAAACTACAAAAGTAAAAGTTTTGGGTATGCTTATTTCTTAGTACAGTGTTTTCTGTGGCCCCTTACGCCTGCTTCCCTCTTGCTTTAAACACCACAAATGTAAGTTGCTGCAAAAGGTGGTATTTGAAGGTTGGGCCTTTGAAGGTGGCTTTTTTTCGTACAGATTTCAAAAGTTCAAGTAGTACTCAACTAGTAAACTCATCATGAGTGTGCCAAACATTTCTCCCTGCTGTGATGCTGTTCATATGTGAGGAGAATGGAAATTTCTGAAATGAGATGCTGTACAGCTACACTGAACACAGTGTCATTTTTAGATTAAGATCATGATACTCTAAGTCTGTCATACAGAGTCTTTCAGACATAATAATACTGAACACTGACTTCCCATGACCTGTACCTTTGAATGAACTGAAAAATATCTTAATTACCTTTAATAATAATTGTTAGTACAAAAATTATAATGATATAATTTCTAAAATTCTATAAGATTATCTGGTATTAAAGCAGCCAGTATATATGAAAATCTGCTTGGTTTTGGATTGTAATTAGAGCTTAAAAATGTTACTCTTCATTGAGATTTTGGTCTCAGCTATAGCCTTTGATTTAGTGCATGCAAATAAAAATCCAATCCTAGAGTTTAGATTAAAATACAGATAATACTTCTGAGTTTCCAGGATAGCAAGTCTTTTTGCATTTGAACTCTGCATAAGGCTGCAAACTAAGGGTCACCTATTCCCTGCTTGTGCCCTAGTTTCTCTGCTGAGGTACTAAATTCAGAGCAGGACTGTCGTTCCCCAGCAGGAAAACTGAAAAACAGCAAATGTATTTCTGAACTCATAAAGTAACTTTCTGGTGTAGAGGAATACTGTAAGGTCATCTTGGCAACTTGGACCTTATGAAATTTCTTCTGCCCTAAGTGAAGATGGACACGGAGACTATTCTTTTTCTGTTTTACAGTCAAGTTGGATATTCTATATTCCAACTCCCATGATAATTATTAAAAAAAAGGTACAATATGCAAGACTGAAAAGCCAATGCTATTGTTCAAACACTAAAAAGTAAAACCAGACAGAAACATTCATTAAAATATTTAAATTGCCCCAAGAATTGTAATAAATGAGAAAATAACTCCACTTAACAAGCAGTAACAGATTGATCTAGGTAGTTTGCAGCACACATGAAAAAACGTCTGCTTGGTTTCACATTAGTAGCTGTAATAAACGTAGAAATCTTTCTCCTTTCAGCATTTTTTATTCTTAAGACTTTGTTTCTACTCTCCTATCTAAGAGCTGCCATTTTTCCTGTTCCTCCCTTGCCTTCATATACTCAGGTCCCCAGATGCCAGCCAAGTCTGCAGTAGTTTCTACCCACTGATTTGGCAACTGACACAACTCCTGTGTTCCAGGCTTTTTGCCACTATTAAATGTATTATGCATCTGGCACTTTATGCACACCTGGTAGTTGTGGTCTGATGCCATTTTTATCTGAATCACCAAGATCTTTCCTTTATGGGTACATCAAGTCCAGAGGGAGTAATATTAAACTTCAGTCCTTCTGTCCATCTGCATTTACAGTGTTCAGAGCTATGAGATTTGCCTTAAGATGCCTCCCATCAAAAAGAAAACTGGAGGGATAATAACCTAAGGCCTTCTAATTTGTGTCTGATTTTACCTCCCTATACGTTACTGCAATAAAATAAAAAAGATTTTTTCAGAAATAATAAGAATTTTGTTGTTCCTTCTTGACAGTTGGCCTATTTTTGCTTTTCACGTTTTTCAACACAGATGAGTTAAAAAAAAAAAAAAAATCGATGTCTGAATCTACATTCTTAAACTGTCTGAAAAATTACTTATTAGATACATAGAAATATTCCACAACTGGTATCATTTGCCCTGTTTAATATGCATGATATAGAATACACATTTTTTACCAGTATGCTTTTTGCCTATTTTGAATATTTTGGTAAACTGCATAGTTTGTAGAGGAGACAGAGGAAACTGGAAGGTTTTTTTATTAGTTTAGTTCATTTTCCCCACTATTTTTAAGACAGCTGTTCATATTTGTATGCCCACCTTTCAGTAGTAAATTTAATTTCACATTTGTCGTTTCAATTCTACAGTATATCTAAATCCTTCTGGAGCTGGAAAAATATCTTAATAAGAAGATTGACCATGAAATAATAGCCAAAATTTTATTTAGATTTTTCTAATAAACCTTCAGATAACTTTACATTCGACTTTCTACTTCTCTGTGGTCTGCAGTCAAAAGACCAAATCTCAAAGAACTGGCAAAACCAAGTGCTGAGTTATGTAGAATTGAAAAGAGTACATTCTGAATAAACTAGAATTTTGTCCAACAAGATAAAACGAAGTGAAGGGTATTCTGAATTTTCTGTGTTTTTTTTTTTTTTAATAGTGTTTATTCTCTGTTTTAGACAGATGTGGCTGGACAAGCAAAGACAAAGCTGTTTATTTTTAATGTGGCCATTACAGTCCTAGAATATAATCTAATTTAGAAGAGACCTTCTAGAGTTTGATTCAACTCCCCCTGCTCAAAGCAGGGTCAAGTCCAAGGTTAGATTAGGCCATTGAAGGCTATACCCAGTTAGTTTTTAAATATCATCACTTGTGGAGGTTTGTCTTTTGGCAGCCTGTTCCAGTTTTTGATTAACCTCACTATCTTCAGTGATCCAGCATACGGCTTCTAGGCAAATTTGCTCCATGATCATCTTGGTGAGGCAAACCAGACTGTAGTTACCCACATCTTCCATCTTGAGGATGGACATGGAAATGACTTTTCCAGTCTTCAGAGACCTGCTGCAATTGTCATGATCTGTTAAAGATAAGAGGGAGTGGCCTTTCAGTAACATTGCTGAGCTCCCTCAATCATTGCTGCTTGAACATATCCTCTCTGGTCCCAAGGACATGTGTATGTCCAATTCACTTAACTGCAGCCTAAGTACATCTTCCTCTATTGTGAGTGATACCCCACAGATCCTACCATGAGGCACAGGGACCAGGGAGGCCTGAAAGGAGACCATGCTAAAAAAAAAAAGAAAAAAGACTGAGCCAAAGAAAGCTTTATTGAGCAGTGGACAAAAATTTTCCATAGTCTTTCTTTTGCTGCCAAGGTAATTACAGAAACCCTTCTTTCCTGTCACATCCCTTGCTAACTTCATCTGCACTCAACCTTTGGGCCTCCATAATTCCATTATTGCATGTTGGGGCAATGTCTCTGTATTTTCCCCAGGTCATTCATCCCTGCTTTCACCTTCCGTGTACTCCATTTTTGCATTTGACTTCAGTTGGGCATCACTTCTGACACCCAGGGTTGTAATTTGCTATTCATTTTACTAACTTCTCTCAAGATCTGTTATCTTAAATTCCGTTGTCTCATGGTCACTGTAGGCAAGTTTGCCATCAGATTTCACAGGTCCTTTTTTTCTTCCAGATTTGTCAGGAGCAGATCCAGCAATGTGCCTCCTCTAATTAAAGTTTTGTACAAAGTAGGCTAGATAATATTTATTTTGTATTTCTGAGAACATATAAAAAGCCTGCTTGCAGAGGGCAGTGCATGATCAGTATTTGTGGAGTTTTTAAATTTGATACTTCATGATAGAAGTTTGGTAGAACATTCCCTGTACAAAGTTTACAAAATCTTATCCTAGATGAAGTGAACCCTCATTTTAAAATCCAATTAAAACATATTACAAGCCAGAGCTTATACTGAATATGTTACAAATTAATAAATACAAAATACTGAAAATTATTGCCTAAAAAGTAATGGTTCTCACTTATTTTCTCTTCTTTTTAATAGAATAATTTAAGAATATGCAATAGATTTAATATGCTACAATATAGTACAGTAAGAATCACTTTAAGAAAACCAGGGCAAAACTTTCTACGTTTTTCAGTAAAAAGTATGAAAGTGATATTTTTCATAATTTTCCTTTGATTTAGAACAAACCAAAACAAAACAGTAGTGTAAAAACCACGCACAGAAAAATGTTTTATGTAATAATGTAGTCTCAATGTATCTATTTCTATAAAAGTAAAAATTCAGTTAAGAAATGTCAGTATATTGCATCAAATGAAGTGAAAGACACCAAAAATAGTTATGCTGCCATTGGTTCCTGTTCATCTCTCCAGACCCCTACACAGTTCATAATCTCTGTGTCATTTCTGATTTCATTCCTGATAGTACTTGCTCTTTTTTCCCCTCTTTTCCTATCACATATCTTGATTATGTCCTTTGATGATCTGTTTAAATAACTTTTCCTCTAGAGGAGAAGTTATTGCTGTGCCTTAAGATCTCTAAAACCTGATAATTTTATAGGAAGAATGTCAGGTAAGCTCTGGTCATAGCCTGAATGCTGCCAAATTAGTTTTTGTCATTGGTGTTTTTTGGTTGGTTTTGGTTTTGGGTTTTTTTTTTACGTTTTTATTTCTCTCAAAAAATGGGAGAAAGTCAAATTAGAAGGGAGATCATACAACATAATCACTGAGCTCTAGTCCTCCACTTGGAAGTACCATGCCAAACTCAGTCTAATTATAGCTGCTTTTCACTGTTCAGGTGACTCAAACAGCTTTAAAGTTATAATGTACTTAAGCTTTTTGTTGGCTCCTGAACATCATGTTTGTCTAATCTAATCTTCCGTTAAACAGGTCACAGGTGTAATCTTTCACATGAAGGAATAGGAAAAGGAAGTACAAACCAACCAAGTATTGTAATGATGAACAAGCAACCAAAAAGGGTACTGAGAAAGTAGGAAGACCTAGGCTTTTCAAAGGCATTTAAGTAAATTCGAAAAATTAAGTAAACCTCAAATTTTTTGTTATATTGCTATAACATGTATAGATAACAGTGAAATGTAAAAATGTAAAATACCTTAAAGAGAGAAAAATGCTAAAATAATAATTTCCCTTTCCTTCAGTTAAGCTGTTGCACTATTAACATTCCATCCTTATTTTAAAATA